TAATGAATGGAAACAGAATTTTTATTTGCAATAATTTTTTGAATTGACGTCATACAATTGAGCAGAAAAGACATACTTCAGTTAAAACGTAATAATTATTTTTGACAATATTCTGATAATTGTTCGAGTTTCTTTGCTTTCAGCAATAAAAATTTCGCTTATTATTTATTTTGGTGTATATTAATTAAAAGACAAATATGGTGAAAATTAATAAAGACAAAGAATCCGGAACTACTCTTGTATGCCAAAAAGTATTTCATCTAGAGCAAAAAAAAAAAAAAAAAAAAAGCAGGAAGGAACTATCCGAAGAAATAGATATTCTCCTTCCTTTTTTTATTATGTCGAAAATCATTTCAAGCTCTTAGCATCAGGAATAAAGAAAGTAACAGAGCCGACGCCGAATTACTTGAAAGATTGCAAGAACTAAAATTCGAAATTAAAATTTACGTCGATAGAGGAGTGAGAATGAAAAATTCCAAATCAACAAAATTGGTCATATAAGAAAGACCTAGATGTTCGGATCAGCAAGGGAATGAGATGGATAAAATGATAATAGAGAAACCAGTTCCGATCGAAAAAATCAAACAGAAGGAAAGATCATTAACAGTAAAAAATCGAGAAGTAAAGATGGCGAAGAAAAATGTCAACTTCAAAAAAGAAAAGAAAGATGAAAGAAGAGAAACGGAAAAGAAAATCCATGCAAAAAAAGAATTGTCTTTTCCACTCATAAATTTCGTAATGTTTAACTTTGCTTTCTATCATCGTTAAATTTGAAACAAAACATTTGGATACAGTTTAGACACACCGAATCAAAATTCATTAAGAAGCAAAATTGAAAACTCTTTGCATCAAACTCAACAATTTTGAATATTCGTTATTTCAATTAATAAAATTTATTTTTTTAAAATTAATATTAATCCGGTGTGATTGTAATCTATTAATAAGACTTATACTGATTTACCTTCCGAATAGAAATTAGCAGTGGCTTGTCGTCATTGGAAGCGGTGGATGCGCCGCTTCCCTTGTATTTTCTAAAAAATAAATACACATTAATTTTAATTATATAAAAATAATCGCACAATATTTTATTATAACCGCATTATGTATCTTATTACAAATGTCTATACTACATGTGAAAAAAGAGATAAGATTGCTATTGTATATTCGAATATTAGTAGCGGAGTGGAAGCGCTGTATTGTCATCATCCAAAAAGCCAGATTCGCGCATGCGCTTTACAGAGCACCAACCTGACCCGGTTTAGCTGGTAGAAGTCTAGGACCTTGGGTGGGTGCAGTGGCGTAGCGTAGTGGGGACAGCAGGGGCGGCCCGCCCCGGGCGGCAAAATTTCACAATAAATAATGATAATATCTTATAAAAAATTTGAACCATTCTAATCTATATTTGCGTCGCGCCTACGAAATTACTAGCTCACTGTCCCGGTGAACTAGTAATTTCATCCGAGGATACCTTGCGCAACCTGCTGACCTTCTTTTTTATTTTATTTTTATTTTTTATTTTTTTTGCTTGTACGATTCATTCGTATTCATATACACCACCAATATCCAATAGAGCTATTTTAAACAGGTCGCTGCACTAGCACGGGACTTTTCATTGTTTGCTCTGTGACAAAACTGAATTTTAGTCTTTTAAATTGAGATACCTAAATAAGGGGAAGCGAAATTTTTCTCCGCCCCGGGCGGCTGACTCCCACGCTATGCTACTGGATGGATGCTACACGTATACCGCATCCAATTTTATCCGGGACCTGTTCTGGGCTGTTAGCCGCCCGCCTGCTAGATATTGGCCGCCCTCGCCCGATTACGTGAATCACAAGTAGATTTATAACTTAATCCAACCGATAAGAATTTACTGGTATGTTTTTACGATAGTTCTGTATAGTTGACAGGAGTTTAAAAAAATCCATTAAAATATTTGATATTTTTATTCCGTTCTTCGATTTTATATTACTCACGGATTTCAATGTTAAACCAGTGATATTACAATTTCGTATATCCCATCTTTAAGGGGATGTAGAAAAAATCGTGTACAATTCTTGTATAATGTTTAAAAATTAACTGTTACTTCGACAGTATCATTTACAACTAAATTTAATGAATGAGAGAGATGCACGAGGTATAGAAAAAGCTCTAGAATTTATTTTCCTTACATTTACGATTTATATATCCGTTTGTCATAAAAATTTATCTTTCCACTTTTTTCCCAAGACTGCAAATATTCGAGTACAAAGTAACCAATTTCTACTTAAGAAGTAGTTAAATAATTAAGCGATAATGGAATTGGAGACATAAACAAAACCCTGATGAAAGAGCCGAAATTTTACTTAAATAAAAGCTTAACTTAACCGAACCATCTCTAGCCGAGTACAGTGGAGACTGATTTCTTCGTATTATTAATGTAATAAAAACAGAAATTTTTCCAGTTCAATGAGAGTGACCAAAAAGTTGTAAATTTTGGAAATTTCCGCGGACACTTGGTCCTAAAACGAATTAGTTAGAAAACAAATGACTATTAAGTTTAACATATTATTTTGTAACTGTTGAAGAAATTTGACGGTTTTAGTGTTTTCTCGTTTTTATAATTTAATTTTGAAAAGAGTTAAAATTAAAATTACAAAGTTAACACTGATTTAACAAGATGTTTACCAGGTAGATTGTAAAGGATTCGAATTTGGATTTAATCCGAATCTTTCTAATTTTGTCATGATTGAAGTTTATTTTTTATCTTTAACCATGCCGGATTGACGCCATGGAATGTGCCATAATGGGCGAAACTGAGCCATCATATGTGCTGATATTTCTTGTAACAAATCTTTGTTTAACGACATAAAATAACTCGTTATATTGGTTAACAATATTTGCTAACATATAGTCTATATTTATCGCATGATTCTGGTTACAAAATTAATATTGATTTATTATTTTTATTGTATTTTTCAAATGTTATGGTTAACTTCTTAATGGAGGAATGAAGGATCATATTTGCATATCCATTTTCAGAAATCAAACAATATTATTTATTGTTATAAGAGAGTTTGGATTGAATTTGTTTCGATCTTTATTTTTTACGACAATTTAAGTCAGACTTCTTTTCTCATCCCTCATTTACGGAACCACATTTCATTGCAAATCAAGTCCATCGCAATGAGCATAATTGACACCAATAATATAATCCATCCGTTGTATAATGTGTCATACATAACAGATCCAATGTAATCGCTTTTCAAAGCTTACCATGAAAGTTTATAACCATTTTTTAATTTAATATTTTAACCACTTTTACTGAGATCAATTTAATATTTTTGTTTTACATATTTTACTAGAGGGAAAACTCCTATTATTTTTACTGGAATATTCAATGTTTTAAAAATAACAAATTCATGTGCTTTTATTTTATTATTTTTATTTCATTAAATAAAATTTAATTATTCATAAATATAAAGAATTAATTTATAAAACTGGTTAAACTGATTTCGTACATTAACTATTGATTATATGTACTGTACTGTAATTATTTATTATACTGTACTGTAATGTAATTATTATAATAATCACAATATTTTAGCATTAAATTATAAGATCATTGAAGATTTACAAATTTTATTTTTTAAGTTATTGTAATATCAATCATTTAAAATTATGATTAATAAATAAGATTTACAGTTTTTATACTATTTTAGAATCTCTTAAAAATTCGTTTTTACGATAATTTCTTTATCAGCGATATATTTCAAGAGATTTTAATTTCTATATATTTTTATAATTTATATATTGCATTTTGTTATGTCTAAATTGAATTTTTACTCTGTCATCTTTTCTTTAAATTATTTGATTAATAATATATGGGAAAGAACATACACTTCTTTAAATTTACAACGTGCTGAAGTAAAAAGTATGAATATTAAATTTTATATCAAATGTTATAGGCTAATGCTTCTTTATGTTATACAAGATAAAACACAATAAGTCTATACAGAAATCCTTTAAAAAATGAAACTACTGTAATAAGATTTTTTAATAAACGAAAATGTTATTGTATAAAAATGTATTAAGTTATGGAAGATTATTAAAAAGTTTCCATGTATTTGGTTTCAAACCGTATAAACTTGTAACGTTTTGAGTCTACAATATATTCCCTTCCGATGGAATTTTGATGGAAACGATCCAACAAATTAGTTGACAAACAAATAAGTTACGCAGTATTTTTTGAGACCTTGAAATCGAAATTAGCTCCTGCCAATAATTCGAATAATGAATGCAGTAATTTTATGGAAAATTATTAACTTTAAATCAACAGAATCGAAGTTCGCATGTATCTTTTAACTACACTTTTATGAACTCGTGAGAACAGTATATTATATAATCCATATATGCGATGTTTGTTTTAAAATGTAGCTAACTAATTTCCAATTTGATTAAAATTATATGCTAGTAAATGTGTAATCGTTATTACTCGACATTAACCTTATCATCAGGAAAGGAATAAGAATTTCCGATTTTTAATATTAATGACGTACTTATTCAAGGCTGTAAAGTACTTATTAAGTTTTTATTTTAAAAAACCTTATGATTATTTTATATGATGATAATAATAATAAAATTGAATATATAAACAATATTTTGTAAAGTTAATCATAGGAAATTGTTGTTAAACTGTGAATCGCAGGTTAATCGGATTCAATGGAGTTGTATTTTGTGTGTGTGAAAACAAATGATATTTTAATTTAAAAATGTATGAAAACATTGAAATTTTGCCGAAAAATTATTCGAAATAAACTTTAAAATTTTCCATTTGCCTCGAATTGCCTTTATTCGAGAATCTTAACATAATACAATTTATGTAACCGATTAATCGCGAAACATTAATTTAATATCGATAAAACATTTTAAATTATTTTATATAATATTTCAATACATTTATCGTTACAAAAATTACTGTTTATTATTATTATTATTTATGAACTTTTTAAAAATAGTACAGTAGTCTCTTCCGATGTGTATTAGATATCGGTTCGAGAATAAATAACTTTAGCAAAATCACGTGACAACATGTCGTTTGGTCTTCGCCGATTTCTGGTAATTTTTCACGAAATTATTATGTTTTTAAATAAATATTAACCCTTTCATACGACAATTTGAGAAAATCGTCAAATTCGAAGAAAAATTTGATGATTTTTTCAAAAGTAAAAATCAAATTATATAAATAATTTCAATTAATAATAATAACCATTACAATTTATTAACAAGTTATGTAACATTTTTGTATTACATAAAATTAGCGGAAAGTTTGAAATACGAAAAAATAAGGAAAAAAATTAAGTTTTTCCAACACTTCACAAATTTCTATGTTATTTTCTTAAACTATTTTACAATATATAATAATTTCAAGTATATAATTCATTAAATACACTGTATATATGGATATATAAAATTCCATACAAATAGATCATAAAGGATTAAGAATCATATCCTTAATTCATTAACCTTAATGAATACTATTTTTGAAAAATTTACTCAAAATATTGTAAAAATATTCATTGACCACTTTCCATGAGTAAATTTACAGTATTTAAGCTTACATAACCTATAATATTTTAACAGCTTTTATATTACATATATTAAACATATTGTAAAGATTAACAATATAGATTATAGATACTGAAACTTTTAAAACCTGTAAAATATATTATGTAATATGCTCAAATTTGTATGTTATTTATGTTTGTTTAAAATTTTTACTGCAATGTATCTGTAGTAATGGAACATTAAAATCTTGTGTCTATTTTTAGTACTTAGGTTAAGAATACAAACAATAGTCAAGATGTAAGTAAAGATGTAGCTAAATAGTAATAAATAATAATTTAGAAACATTATATATATATATGTTTTATGAAAAAGTTTTACATATTTTTGTTATAATATTTATACTGATTTTTAATAATACTAGTGCATTATCTTATTAATATATTATTTGTTATTTTAAATAAATATTAATTGTAATAAATATTTTATTGATTTAATAGAATAGTATTATTTTTTTATTTTGCTGAACTAAAGTAATTAGATTGTATTTATAAATTAAAAAGAATTTGATGAATGTCAATGTAATAAAATTGCAGAATATAAAATTGTATAAATATCACTTTTGGTAGCTGTTATTATGATCTATGTATATATGTCTCTTTAATCCGAAATTAAGTTTGATAGACTATCATTACAGCTTTCAGGTTAGACACTTCTTTTATTGTTTCCACATATGCATTTTGGACTTATATAAATGTTAAGACCCTCTTCAGTGCAATATTAAATATTAAATATTGTATAAGTGTGACAATTTTTAATATTGCACTGAAGAGGAACTTAACATTTATATAAGTCTGAAATGCATATGTGGAAACAATAAAAGAAGTGTCTAACCTGAAAGCTGTAATGATAGTCTATCAAACTTAATTTAGGATTAAAGAGACATACATACATAAAATTGTATATATTAAAATTTACTAGTATATACATTAGATGATATATTTTGTGATAAAAAAGATTTATTTTTAAACAACAAGACATATATTACAAACTAATTTTTAAATATACTTACTTGGCATATATCTTGCATTGAAGAGGGATTTAAAAATTTTTTTACAAAGACTTTTGCTTTCAGTGTCCAAAGATTATAAGGGTGCTTGTCAAAATTAGGAATACCATATTTACTCGCATATAGGACGAGGTGTGACTTTAAAAATCAAAATAAAGAAAATTAGATTTATTAATACAATTCTAATTTTATTTTGTTTAATCACAAGTAAAATATCAAATTAACGTAAATGCACACATTGTCCCGCAAAAATTACTGGCATTTTAAACTTTAAGGAAAAATCTTGTAAAATCGACAACATCATTTGTTCATGTAAAGCTAGACAATCAGGAACCTTTTTTTTTGCCAATTCTTAATGGTTGAATCCATTCTCCGTCAATTACACTTATGACTTTCTTCAAATTCTGATTTCCGAATAATCATCTATTTTCATGTGGGAATGGATTAAAACTTATATCATGCTCCTGTGTGATTTTGGAATTTCAATCTTGAATTCAATTCAAAAACTTTCCCCGCATTTCTTTATGCAGCACTCAAGAAGCGCTTTACAGCGAACACATTGAAACTGGTTTCTAATTGGCCAACACTGCTCATGACATCATTTCGCTACATTCTCACTGCATAAAGAAACATGGGGTTTGCTTTTCCTATTGCTATTCATCTTTACTCTTGACAATATACAAGAACGATTAAAATGACCCAAATAAAATACTTATGTTTTTACATACAAGAGGGTAAGCATCTAGTAAAAAATACAAATACATGGTTCACAAAAATTATTTGCAAAAACACAAAGAATCTTTCGCTTGCGCGTATAGGACAACCTAGGAATTTGAAACTGTGATAAATGAATAAAAACCTCGTCTTATATGTGAGTAAATAAGGTATATCCTATCAGCATATACTAAAATCAGGCTATGATTTTGATATGTAGCCTAACTTAGTATCATAATTGTTGGAACAAGGAAAGATCCATCTGTGTAATTTCTCCATATTAAAAAGTTCGTTATAAAATATTTGCATTCTTACTTTGTAAAAGATGCTTATGGTTTATGTAAAAGTGAGACATATAGTTATGATTTGATATATGAAAAATTTACTTGATTTTGTTCATTATGTACATTTTAAGAATTTCGAAATCAAATTTTATTTTATAAATAAATAAATCAAATTTTTATTTATTTTAGAAAGACAACACTTTATTAAACACAAGAAATAGTTTTGCTCGCTTTGAAATGTTATAGAGAAAAGAATTCTGTTTTACAAGTCTATACCAGAGGTCCCAAACTTTTTTGAATGTCAATTCCCTTCAAGGATTTCTTCACTTTTTTATCTATCCACTCTTAATTAATAAATAATTGTTGAGATAGTATTAATCTGTATACCATTTTCATAGAAAAGATTACTTACAATGTGCAAATTTACATCCTGAACTGTCATATATGTAACCCATTTGACTAATAATTTTGAATGAACCATTTTCAATTAACCCCCTACTACATTTTGAACTCTGAAAATGTTACTGACCCAGGAGTCAATATCAACCACTGGGGATTTCTGTTCTAAGCTGAGAAGAGTATGATAATAATGTATTGAGTTCCTGAAATAAGTACTGACTTGATTTATTTATCTGTAAACATGATACCAAATTTTATGATGTTTAATGAAAAATTTATTTTATAGTTATTTATTAAATATCCTATCTCAAAGAGACTGACTTACAAATGATTTATTTTAATATATGAAATGAGAATGTAAATTGCACATACACAAAAGAGGATAAATAAATAAAAATCTGACTTCTGTTATTAATATATTAAAAAAAAACAACAAACTTACAAAATTCATAATAACATGCAAGAACTTTCCATAGTAATCAATTCTGTCATCTTCAGGCATATAAAGTTCAAACATGAAACGGCTTCTAAAGTTGGAACAGTTGAATTTGAATTCAAACACAGTAAAAAATTACTTAAAAAAATTCAATACAAGTTGTAGTTTTTGAACAAACATAATTAAACATTCTAGCATTTATATACAAAATTCAGTTCTGGAGATTAAATATTCACAGAAATATATGGAATTACATTAAGTTAATAATGTAATGGTTCCCATAAATTGAGATTCATTGATACAAACAATAAATTTATTAGTGATATTTCATTTTTACATTGGATTGTTTTAAGAAAAAAAATGAATTAAAGCTTCCAAATTTCCAGAACAGTCAAATTAAAACAAACAAACAATTCTTTGTTGTTTTAAATGATTTTAATCTAATTTTTATTGTGTTTGGAGATCTGATTTTCTTACAGCACTACATTGCATATATCAAATTTCAAATAAATAAGTAACTATTATCTGAAAATTATTATAGCATCAGATTTATTAAGTATATTTTATGATGATAAAATAAAATTGAAATTACAAATTGCATTTAAATATTAATGAAAATATTGTTCAAATTTAAGATAAATTATCCAAAATTGCTTTCTCTTTTAAGTATATTTTACAATGCGCTTAACAAGAGAAATAAACAATGTTACTTTTTATATTTTATTTCTTTTTTGAATCTTTGATGCATTTTTTTAATTGTTAGATGTTTATTTCTATTGTGAATATCAATTGATTTAACTCATCAATCTCACTTTCTATTCATTATTTCCTGATGTTAATTTACAGTATTATGTGAATTGAGGAAAATACTTACCATAATTGTTAATTTCACTTTCTTCTTAGACTGTATATATCAACAAATAATACAACTCTAAAACCTTTACGATACAGCCAAATTTATTATCCCAATTCAAACATTTTCGGACATCTTTAATGCCCTTTTTCAAGAACAAATTACAATCGAACTAACTGCAATCGAATACTGGCTAATTTGTATAAACGATAACTGCGTTCCAAAACGCAGTTATCGTTTATACAAATTAGCCAGTATTCGATTGCAGTTAGTTCGATTGTAATTTGTTCTTGAAAAAGGGCATTAAAGATGTCCGAAAATGTTTGAATTGGGATAATAAATTTGGCTGTATCGTAAAGGTTTTAGAGTTGTATTATAATTGTTAATGATAAGGTTGCAGATATTAATTAACAGTTTATATTGTTTGTTTTATTTGTGAACGTCTAAGAGATAAATATTTGATTTTTAAACTTTAGCATTTTAAACATAAATTTAATAAATATTAAAACCAAGTGATTAAAGGAAAAACTTTAAAATTTATTTCTGTTCTATATTTTAAGATGTTTTTAAATCTTGAAATATAATATGATTATAGTATTTCTTGAAATAATAAATTTTTATAGTTTTGACATTTCAAATTTTACTTTATTGATGTAGTAAAAATGCTAATTTTCATTTAATATGTTATTTGTTTTCACATAATAATTCATCAGATGGAGATTATATATCTGCACATTGTATTTCTTATTTCTGTTTAGCTTCTATGTTCCTTGTAACTTACCTGAGGATATCTGTTTT